AGGATGCCTTTTTAAAACCCTCTTTCATTCTTGACAGGTAATGTCCTGTCATTGTCCTAGCTGTATGCCAGTCTATTTCTGGAAGGCCCTTGAGAGCAGGGGCCATCGCTTATTTGTCTTAATGACTGAATCCAAGATTAGATTTAGCATGTAATAGATTTTCAGTAAAGAATTAATGAAAGAATGGCATTAAGAATAGGAATAGCAAACTCTTCAAATGGCACTCAAATTAAGATTTGACCTAAGGAACTCCCAATCTAGTGACCCCCTGATGGAGATTCACATAGACCTCACAGGGATTGAGCCAGAAGGAAAGCTGAGTCTTGAGCTTTGAGAAATTAGGAGGAGAGCTCAGCTGCCCTGAGGGACTCAGAGTCATCCAAATCATACTACCTGTGACATAGGCCCTTTTCTGCTTTTGCCACATAAGGCCAAACACATGAGCTAGGAACTAGAATGAAGGTGGTTGACTTTTTAAAAAATTGAAGATGGTGACTAGAACAATGTGTTGAGTAGAGGACAGCAACATTCGGAGCATTAAACATTAGCGAAAGATGGAGGCCAAACAGGGGCTTGGGAAAGGTCCATGCTGGAATTCCTGGGGAGGTGGTAGTGGTGATTTTCTTCCCTAATAGATGGGGAACATTTCGACTATGCTAATTAACAGGAACAGCAGGTTTGTAATTCTGGCAGCAGCAGGACATGAATGGAGTGGGCTTAGCACTGAATGCCAGAGTAACCTTCCTTTGTATTCAAGAAAAACACCACACTCAGGTTGGGTCAGGTCCATGAGGGGCACTCCAGTTCTTTATGTTCCCTATAGTAAACCCAAGAGCTTAGGCACTTTTGAGTTTTTCCTAGGCCTTCTTAGAGTTAGCAAGAGGCCTATTATTTCTGAAGGCTTTTATTCTCAAGGGAAGAGTTGTTCTGTAGTTTGCCTATTTGAATTTGATCAGATATGCTTTATATCAGATATCGCTGCAAACTAAATTTCAGATTTGTGTCCTTCAAGGTGCATATGCCTCCCCAGAGCTGTTATATTGTGAGTTTAATTAACAGGACTCTGTGTAAATGGGGGTGCCTTTCCAATTCCTAAGATAATACCTGAGAAACAGTGGGTTGGGAGACCAGATAAGAGTTCTTTCATCTTCCCAGAATACACTGAGTCTTGCTAGGAATTTGTTTGCTTGTTTGGGGGCCACACTGGGCAGAGCTCAGGCTTATTCCTCACTCTCTGCTTAGGAATTACTACTGGCGGGGTTTGGGGGACCATATAGAATACCCAGGATCGAACCCAAGTTGTTCGCATGCAAGGCAAGCTCCACACTTGCTACTCTCCTGCCCCTTATTAGAGAATTTATTCCCAATATGTGTTCAAAGCTCATTACCATGATAATCTGAGAACCTTAGAAGCCAATAAATATGAAGGAAAAGTTAAGTCTCAGAATATCAGAGCATGCAGTAATTGGAGATTTTCTACTCTGATCAGCACTTGTAATGGAGGAGGACACTGACCTTGTATAAGTTGATTTAGAAGGGTTAATATTTCATCCACTATGACAAGGGTAGTTGGAAGTAATTACTCTGGACAAAATGTGAGTGCTGAGAGTAGGTAAAAGGATATAATGATAAAACTGTCAATTCCTGCATTTTAAGTCATAATGTCCAGAAGGAAAGAGAGAGAGAAAGAAAAAATTGTCTGCCATGGATGCAGGCTGCGGATGGGGTTTGGGTTGGTGTCAGGAGGAAAATTGGGGATATTGGTGGTGGGAAGTGTCACTGTTGAAGTATACATCCATGGGTAATGGAATGTTGTATGAACGAAACATGAACATGAACAACATTGTAACTGTATCTCACCATGACCCAATTAAAAATATTTCATCCATTCATTGTTTTCTTTCATCAGCTATTCATTGAACATTACTATGAATCTGCCAAGACATGTACCTGATAGTGAAAACAAGTTATTATTTCAATAATGAATTATTATTGGTTCTGTTTGAGTTAGACTCAGTGAACTTCTTTATTAGAAATCCAAACTGCTAGCTTCACAAGGGCCCTGGGGAGATGCTACATGGGATTTTCAGCCAGAGGATAGAGGTTTTCTGTGCAAGATCACCAACTTCCAGAATTGCAGGGTAATTAGTTAACTATATTTGACTTTACATAATACATATGTTGTTGCGAAGTTATTTGTAACTCAGTTCTGGCAAATGAAAAACTAATTTATACCTTGAAATCTGCTTTTATTTAAAGAGACCCTAGAGAAAATCCTTCTGTAATATTAAACACCTTATTGTTGGAAATTATTATCCTCCAGTTCAGGATTTAGGGAATCTGGATGCTCTGGGCTTTCCTTTGATAGGTAACGTATCCTGATCTAAATGGGTAGGGGAAGATTATGGACTGGAAAGAATAAGCTGTGGAAATCATAGACCAGGTAACCCAAATATATTTTGCTGGAGCCCATGATTGGATGCTGCAGGCCCAAGATACTCCAGTTCTCTCAGAATCTGGTGTCTGGAGGAGAGAAGGAGGAGGTGGAGCATGAGAAGTGGTGTATAAAGCGTGAGATTTGGGGCTTTCTTTCTCTTCCTGCAGATAGGAACAAGGTGGAACTAGAAGAGAGAACTTCAAGCTATTGTTTGATCAAATTCCAAGTTCTTTCTTAAGGTTTGGGAAGCCCCCTTATATTCTTGTATATGGAAGGAGAGGAAGAATGGTGTGGGAAAAAATAGGACAGGACTTTAGGAGAGAAGAGGGCTATGTGAGTTCTCATTAAGTCACATTTGGTGCTTTCGTATTTGTAAACAGAATGAAAGAATGCAGGACCGAAGTTTAACTTTTTATAATTTTTTCCTGTAAAACTGAATAGTGTGGTACTGATCACAAAAAAACACTTTAAAACTGATGTATAGAAAGACATTTCAGATACGAAAATAGTTTTGATGCAAAATATTATTTTGCAGACAGTATTTATGTGTTAAAGATGATCCTTGTCTAATTGGTGAAGTCTCCTAGGACTCTTTCTTGCCAAGGAAGCCAAACATCATTTGTACAACAGTGAAAGCAGAATCCACCTACATATTTCTCTCTCAGTTCTCTAGTATGTTGATCAATTATTTTTTACTTGTGACATTTAATAGTTTTCTGTGTTCAAAGATAATGTCAGAAAGAAAATCTATATGTATATATATATATATATATATATATATATATATACTGAAATGTTACTGGGGCTGGAGTGATAGCACAGCGGGTAGGGTGTTTGCATTGCACACAGCTGACCCTGGTTCGATTCCCAGCATCCCATATGGTCCCCTGAGCTACTGCCAGGGGTAATTCCTGAGTGCCGAGCCAGGAATAACCCCTGTGCATCGCCAGATGTGACCCAAAAAAGCAAAAAAAAAAAACCCTAAAATGTTACTAAGTCTAGAAAGTATAAAATAATGCTTATGATTAGAGATTTATTTCTATGCTGTTGTTTTAATTTTTTCTATTACTCATGATCTTCAGAAAGTGACTCTTGCCACTAGTTACTCTAGCATCAGGTAATAATTTGGGGCCAGTTTTGTAACCAAAAGCAACTACTGAATAAAAAAAAATCTTACTCTCTTCATGTAGTGACAAATGTGAAAATAGAAATATAAAGCTTCAGAAAGTATTGTAAGTTTGTGATTAGGGTATGGTCTCTGACCAGAGAAACCGGCATTTTGGGAACAAATCTTTCCTCTTGGTGCTTCCCTTCTGTAGTGATCCTGATTCTTGGTTGTTGTCAGAATTCTCAGGGAGTCTCTTGGAACAGTCTGTGTTTTAGGATTAGAGCATGGTTGAGTGGGTGAAACTGTCCCTCCTGGCATGCTTATCCTTCTCAATTGTCATATATAGACCACAGGGAGTAAGTGGAACAGAGAAAGGCCCTGGAGGGAGGCACCCTTTGCTGCTGTTGCATGGTGCTGGCACACGGCTCCTTTCTCCTGGGCACTGTATGCCCTGTCCACAGTGGTGAGCCTCGCAGAAGTACAGGTTATAGCCCCGGGCTGTGTGTGGGCTGTTCTCTCTGAGGTCCCCAGGAGGCGCTCTGCTTCATTGTTGGGGCTCAGTGGGCTGCTCAGGGATTGTGTGTGTGGGAGCTGGATCTTTTCTTCTCACGGTTCCTGCCAGGTCGGGTTGTCCATTGCCTCCTGGGGCTACTGTTCATTCGAGAACATCATTATTTCTCACTCTGTGAGAGCTCCAGTTCCCGCAGAGGAACTCATCCAGACCTCACAAAAGCTGGCCCGATGGGAAGTGAGATGGAGGCAGCAGAGTCCTGCCGAAGGGGACATGTTTCCTTCCCAGGCGTGCCCGCAAGGCTACCTTGGCTGTCATTGCTGAGGGTAGGAGGCAGAAGACTGGAAGATGTTGTGTTCACTTTCTATTCCAACTCGTGGTGTTTGCAGTTTATTTTTGTAAAATGATCACTGAAGAAAGACAAAAAGCTCTTATTTAGAACACTATGGTCCATTTTGATAAAAGCCTTTACAACAGTGTCTGTACCAGATAGAGGTGGGCATTTGAGGCGCAAAGGTGGTTTCTGCTTCTTTTTCTCTTATGTGGGGACCATTCAAGGCTGTAGTTAGGGGTGTAGGACTGACCCTTAGAGCCACGTGGCACCAGGAACTGAACCCATGCTCATGCCACACGCAAGCTCTGTACTCTCCCGTTTGCGCCACATCCCCAGTCTCCCAAATGTGGGTTTTATAAAATCCTCCATCTTCACATTCACAGCCAAAGACTGTAGTTTGGGCTTCTATCCCAGGTGGTGTGTTGTTATCAGACTGTTTTCTCCTGAAGCAGGACTAGGAGACCTGCCGCCTTCCATCATACTGGCTGTATAAATGGAACAAGGCAGGATTTACTGGCCCAAAGCAGGGTCTGGAGACCGAGAATGGGTCCTGGGGTCTTGGTCTTTGGACCTTTTTTCACCGTTTTTTTTGTCTTTTCTTATTCTATAGGATCTTTTCGGAATGATGGTTTGAAAGCTTCTGATGTCCTTCCCATCTTAAAGGAAAAAGTGGCCTTCGTGTCTGGTGAGTGTTATGGAACTTTCCTCTGTGATGGGCCTGGAGAAGTGATGTATGTCTGCACATATGTGCAGGCTCTCACGTTGTGTTTGCACAAAAGAAGCAGAGGGTGGGAGTGATGGAGGGAGCAGCTGCTACCTCTCTCCAGAGCCAGGCGAAAAAGAAGGGAGGGTGCTGGTCACAGCTGTGTACCTTAAGCTGTAGAACCTAGAGCACATTTGCTACCACAAGTGTGTACCCGAAGCACAGCCCCTGCAGACCTCCTGATCTTCGCCTCAGCCCACTCCTCCCTCCCAGGTGATGCAGGCCCCGCCGGAGCCTGTGCAAGATGTGCCAGCTGGGGAGTCTGTCTGTGTCATGGAGTGCCAGGGGTTTTGTCGGGGTTCTTTTCTGGTGGATTAAGGATGTGAGATACAGAAATTTCTGGCTTCACCTTCTGTCCTCCCTCCTGGTAACAGGAACTTGGTGTTTATGGAGATTTATTTACTTTCTGAACAGTAACTTCCATTTACTCCTGCCCTTCCTTTCCCACCCATACTGTGAACCTGAGCCTTTTCATGTCTAACTCAGGGCTTAGTCAACTATAGCTTCTGGACCACCCATCTATTTTTGTAAATAAAGTTTTATTGGCATATAGTCATGTTCATTTGCTTAGCATAATTAGTGTGTTGCTACTGTTATAAGTTATCACATTCTGACAATAGAAACTTATTTTCTCATGATTATGGCATCGAGGAGTCCAAATCAGTCCTGAAAAATGATGCCAGAAGGGATGTGTTACTGCCAGAGATGCTAGGGGAGACTTTATTTTTGTCTCTCCCTAACACGGGTCCTTAACTGTTGGGCAGCAAATCCTGTTAGTAAAGACGCAGAAGCACAGGTAGCAATTCAGTGGGTAGAGGCATAAGTGAGATACTTTCAACTCCTTCGTATCTTGTATCTAAGTGCTTGGTGGGCACCCGAGAAGCTCTTGTAGGAAAGCCTGAGGGCACTACATGCAGCAACAGGCTTTGGACAGTGTTACTGCTTCTAACCCAAGTCTCTCATGGCTGGACTCATGGGACTCTCCTGTCTGCCTCCAAAGGAGACCAGTCACATCTTTGTTTTCTCCTCTTCTGTGGACTTGCACCTCAGTTCATCTGATGGCCTTCCTATCTCCTGTATGTCCTACTCATGTTCTTCTCATGGGTCCTTCCTCATACTGTGGGTTAGTTTTAAATTCTCTGCTTCCTAAGATCAGTTACCACTTTGCCTCCTCCTTGAGGTCTTCCTGGTTTTAGCACAATTCTATTCCATGCCAGTTTTGGCTATATGTTTTGGCAGACACTGGGTGTTGAGCACCATTCTATTCCATGCTAGTTCTGGGTATATGAGTGCAGACACTGTATACCCTGACATGGGGCCCCTTGCTTGATTTTTCAAAAAAATATGAATTCAGTTGGAGACCTGGGGCAGGGTCCTGTGAGCACTAGAAAAACACACTTCAACTGTAGGGAGTTGATGGAGCACATAAAGATAAGCATGCCAGTAAGGCATTTTGTCAAGAAGGAGGCAAGTTGGTACTCCCCAGAGCAAGGCCCTGGGGGCTGGTACACGTCACTCACTCCCACTCCAATGTGGATTGAGCACCTGGGCTGTCTTATTTATTTGCAGGTGGTGCCATGAGCTTTGGGGCTTTGGGAATGTTGTCTGGCTGTGCCTAGAAAGGATACTGAGACCACCTGGGAGATGACAGGTTGCATCTAAAACAAAAAACAACCCCCCTCAAAATCCTTTTACAGCCAACCTTTTAAAAGACAAAATGCAAGAATAACATGAAATAGAGAAACCCAGAATTAAATAACGCAGTGGAGCGATTGCATTTCTTTCTGAGAAAAAAGGCACCACAGGAGGGTGGTGAGCAGAGCAGCAAACTGCTGGTTGTGCCCACTCTCCCCTGCCTGTGTCCGGGATAGAGGAAAGCTATGCTGCCATGGGAACAGACAGTTGGAACAGTCCAGTGCAGCTCAACAGCCTCTGCATGTGGGCGTGAGCATATATGAGATGGGAATCTGTGATTGTGCCTCAAGGGGTCCCCTTATTCGAGCCCTGCCCCATCCTGCTCTAGTCCAGTCTGGGGGTCACCCCGGGTCCTCTTTCTGCTTTACTCACTCACTGTCTGAACTCTCCCTTTAAGACACCTTCTTGGTAATGATCCCACTCTTCCCTCACTTCTTCTTGTGCCCTCATGCCCTTATTTTGGCCACCTCCAGATGATGCCTCCATTGACATCACTAATCTTGGGGAAATTCTTTGCCACTGTAGCAGACAGTCTTTGTATCCAGGACCTATGTCTCTAGAGTGTGTTCCACATAACAACAGTCTTGTGAAATGATCCCTGAAAAGAAAAGAGGTTTCTGTTTTTAAATAAAATTGGAAAATGCTGTGTGTTAGAATCTTTTCTTAGAAATTTGCAGTATTTCTTAAAATACATGTCTGTTAGGCACATGAGAACATCTCCTAAACTACAGAACGACTTCTTTCTCTTAAAAGAAAAAAACCCTGTGCGTTAGGTAAGGAGATGACTTGTAGCACAAGTGTGCGTGCTTTGCTTGCAGGTGGGCTAGGTTATATCTCCAGATCTGAAACAAGCATAGTCCTCCGAAAACCACTGGGAAGTGACATCCAAACATGAATTGGAGGAGTCCCTGAGCATTACCAGGTGTAGGTCAAAAACAAAACTAAGCTAACAAAAATAATTTAAAAAATTGTTTGCTTGTTAACATCTTGCAGAAGTATTGTATTATGGACCAAAGTCTTATTATGATATGCTAGGAATATGTTTTCTTGTCTCTCCTACATCTTCTCTCTACTTCCTAAATCATTGTATCTGTACCTGACTCCCCAGGAAATATGTGAGCCCATTCTTTCTCCACCTCTATCATGGAAGGCTTAACTTCCCCCGTTCTTGTCCTTGATTCCTCCTTAACTCTGTTCTGTCCTACTTCAATAGAAGAGGGTCTTTTTACCTTTTATGAAATATCAAAACATCCCCTGAACATTCCTGTTTCTAGCTCCAAAGCTTTACATGAGTAGGACTCCATCCACTATTTGTTGAGCAAGGGAATAGTGATGTTGAAGATCCTGCCACCATCTCATTTTCAACACTTGACAGCTTCTACCTCCTCCCACTCTGTTCTCTAGGATCCAATTCCATAGTGCCTGTGGGCTTTTTCAGGCCTCCTCCTCCTTCATCTCTGTCTGTTCTGTCTATTCCGTAGTCTCAGTTTCACCCTACAACTCCCTGTCTGCCTAGAATCCTTGTCAGTAGTCTTGAACCTTCCTACTCTTGCAATGTACATCCACACTTTGACCCTTGTTATGCCTCTCTGGGTTTCAGTCTTTTATCTTTGACCACTCTGGTGTTCCCCTACCTATTAGGAGAGGACGGAGAGCAGAAGACAAGAACAAGGTGTTTTCTCTTCTTTTACACTCAATTCAGCAGAATATTTTAGACCTTCTCTGGATCTTACCATTAATTCCATGCATCAGGTCTCTTCTGCCTTCACTCAAATTAGAACCTAGAATGTACCAAACCTCTTGCTATCACATGTTGTGCTCTAAACTTTGACACCTCAAGCTCAGGTCATACCCAGCCCTTCTACTCATTCTCCAGGGGAGTTCTTCAGCAATGGATGGCCTCTCCCCAAGAGCTTCAAGACTCCCCTGACAGGTGATCTCATATTCTATTTTACCAGAAGAGCAGTGTCTCCCAGGCAGGCTGAGCACCTTTCTCTCCATGATTTGTCTGTTTCTTACCTTTGAGTTCTCTCTGTGTATTTCAGATAAACTGGCACCAGTCTCCTGTACCTACTCCATCCTTGGTCCATACTCTCTCCAGCATCCCAATACTCTTTCTCTGTGCTTGTTCCTAGTCTTCCTACAATCCAACAAAGAGATCTTTCCAAAAAATACCTGCTAACTTTTCCCACTCCTCATCTATACTTCCTGTGTGTGGAAAACCGTACACTCCAGGGTTTCTCCCCTTATCCCTCCTCCCCAACCTTTACAACCTCCTGAATAGGAAGAGTATGAAACTCCTGTCTCCCAGGACAAGCTGGCTCTGGCTTGGAAAGTATAGTGCTAACAACACTCCACATTCCCTAGTATTCTTTGCTGATCAGACCAGCACGACTTACTCTGTGGGAGGTCAGGGAGAAAGAACAGCTGGGGTGCAAAACATGTCCTTAGGTGAGGTCAGGGCTGGAGGAGAAGGTTGGGAATGTGGGAGGCTCTCCCAGCTTACAGGGAAGCATTCCATTTTATCCTTCAGTTCCTTTTCCTCATTTGGAAGGCAGTTGAGGAATGTGGACCATTTTCAAGGTTGATGAGGTGGGGTGTTATGAGAACTTGGTCCTGTGGGATGGGAATCTGGATGGGGTGGGGTGGGGCTGTGATTTGTGTAGAAAACTGAACACCTGCACTAGGACTGGAAGCCATGCTGATTCTGAGACAGTTTCTCATTAGAGCCAAATACCTCAGTCACCTTTATTTTGTTTGATCCTTTTCTGTGTGTGGCATTTTTATTTTCTTCTCAAGTATATTCTGGAATTAAGTGAATTTTGTTTGTCAAGCCTCCTGTTTGTCTGAGTGGCATCTGGAGCCTGCAATCAGAGGGAAGCATTGTGCACTCATACTTAGATGGAGCTATGACTGGCTCTGTCTTTCCTGGGAAGAAGTGCTGCTTCAGAGGGCTGAGCTGTGAACTCACGAGTACTGAGGACAGCCATGCCAATCCCTCCTCTTGTTTGCATTAGGTTCCCTTGAGGTTACCACTCCTAGGATGTCTGAGATTCAGGATGTGGAATCTCTGATCATGATGTAGGTGTTCTTTGGGTACCTGCCAGTGCTGTGAGGGCATGGCATTATATGTTAGCTTTGTACTCAGACATCCCTAAGAAACTTGATCCTTCTTCTGAACCATTGCACCCAGTCCTGACAAAGTGTTTAAGCCAGGGAATAAGCGTTGAGCATAATGTTTGTAAAATAGAGGAAAGAAAAGGGAATCATTTAAAAAGAAAAAAGAAAAGAAATTCCAGCTTTCTAATAACATTACTCATTGTTTATGTATAACCCTTTTAGTGGTTTATTTTTGGGGGCGGGGGGTTGTCATTCCCGTATACTCCTGGCTCATTGCATGGGAGGTCACTCCTGATGGTACTCCTTGTAGTGGTCTACTTACAGCCAGCAGGAATCAAATCTGGACTTCCTGGTGCAAAGCAGATGTTTTGCCTATTGAACTATCTTTCTTGACCATTTCTAGCTTTGTGTGTATGTGTGTGTGATATTTAAAAAGCATTTATAATCATAATGTGTACATATGCATTTACAGTGATTAAGACCTTGAGTATCCTTATTTTCAAAAGGATTCATATGTTTTTCCAGCAGGAGTGACAGGTGGCACCTCAGGCGGGCAGGCAGGGGTGGATCCTTGACTGTGTAGAAAATACTTAATAGCTTTTCTTCGAATTTAGCAGTGCTGTCCTGAATGGATGGATGCTTTCAGGGATTCTCAGCACAGTACTCAGTTCATTCTAAGCCTCTTACCTCAGAGGACTGCAAACAGGAGTGACTTAGAGGTTAAATTTCCAAAGACTGTAGCATTGGCGATGGTTTGTTTTCTCAGTGAGAACAGTTATCACTACTTTCAAATTTATAGAGTTTTACTTTTCAAGAATGCTTCCGCAAGCATTGCTCCATCAGTCTTCGTAGCAAACCTGTAATGGTTGTTGTGGGCATCATTATTTTTATTAGCGTTTTCGGTTAAGGCATCAGAGAGGGCAAAAGACTTGCTGCCCAAGGTCACACAGTTACCCACAGCCAAACTCCATCCTACTCTGCCTGTTTTATCTCACACTCAGATGGAATTATTTTTCTTCTGTGGCACACTTTCTAGCTGGTTTTCTTAAACTTCCTCCCTTTCCTCCCTTCAGGGGGCCGTGATAAGCGAGGTGGACCCATCCTGACCTTCCCTGCTCGCAGCAATCATGACAGAATAAGACAGGAAGACCTGCGGAAACTGGTGACCTATTTGGCCAGTGTGCCAAGGTAAGGTGAAGGGGCATGTCCTGCAGGGAAGGGGAGGAGGGGAGCTGGGCTGTAGGAAGTGAGTTGAAATGAGCCTTCATCCCTGCACATGCTCTCAGGGGTCCAGGTTGTTTCTGCCCTGGGGTGGTTCGAAATTATTTCCAGATCGTCATCCCTCAGTGCTTTCCTTGTTTCTGTCACTCCACTGTTCCCGCTGGGGCTCATAAGAATTTGCCATTCATTCTTATGAGCCCCAGCGGGAATGCCTTGCCACAGAGGCAGGGTAGGATGGGGGGCATGGGGGTGGGAGGGATACTGGGACCCGTGGTGGTGGAAAATGGGCACTGGTGGAGAGATGGGTACTTGATCATTGTATAACTGAAACCCAAGCACAAAAATTTGTAAGTCTACAACAGTACCTCATGGTGTTTCACTAATAAAAATTTAAAAAAAAGAATAAATGGAAGCTGGAAGTGAAAACTGGAGGAAGAGGTGAGAGTTCCAGGCTAGGAGGACCAGGACGGGTCCTGCGACAAGAAACACCTGGGAGAATCAGGCGCTCCAGCTGATTGTATGCAGCGAATTGTCTTTAAATCCTCTGGCCTTTGCAGTTTGGGGGAATAGCTACACTTTTTTTTCAAGTTCTATACTTAAGCTTTATTCATGTAGAAAACAAGTCAGCATTTATTTTTTAAAAATTTTTATTAGTGAAACACCATGATTAGATTCCATCAAATGGTTTTCAGTTTTCGTTTTGGTTTTTGCTGTTGTTTTTACCATGAGTTGGCCATTGAAAACCATCAATCTAGATTTTGAATATTCAATGGAGAGAGTAGTATTTCCTCCATGAGAAATGAAGATTCTTAGGAGTAGGAAAAAGATATTCTTTTACGTTTTAAGCATATATGTCCATATAATACATATTATTACACATAGTATATAAACAGATATGCAGCATGTATAGTATTAAAATACTATATTAGCATTTCATGGATGGGCAATAAAGGAAAAAGTTTTTAAAGTTTCTTTTGGGAAAGGCATTGACAGCTTATGGGAATGTGAGGAAACACTGGTTTCTGACTGTCTTGAGGTGGGTCTGGCATGAGGTGGTTGAAGTGAGACTTGTCAAGTCTATTATTCCAAGAAGGGCGATAACCTTTGCCAAGACAGATCATCATGAGATCCAGTGGAACACTGAGAAGAAATCTGGACAAATAGATGCTGAATTCTGCTTAGGAAGTGGCTGGTATGGGATGAACATTTGCATGTGTATGGCAAGGGGTGTGCTGGTAAGGGGTGCATGGGTGTGGATGTCCTGGTGGAGAAGTGTTGATGACAAAGCTGACCCTTTAGACCCCTGCCCCAGTGCTCTCTACATCCTTGCTTTTGGCCACTGAAGACTGTTGTCCGTCTCTTAGTGAAGCAGGTACCTGTCGTGTGTGTGTCATCTTAAATAAGTAGTGGTACCCTGGGCTTTCAAATACTTCATCTTCTCTCTCTGCATTTTGTAGAAGATGAAGTGAATCCTAGAGCGGCTAACTCTTCAACTTTGACAGTGCGGAGAGACCTTGGAACATTGTTGTGCTGATTAAGTTCTTGAAGTAGATGCCAAGTGAGACAAGAACTGTATTTTTAAAAAATGTGGGAGACAGATGTGAGGGGTATGTCATGATGGGCAGGAGGCAAAGGGGACTTAAGAGCAGTCATTAAATGCTGGTAAGGTTGTTGAATAGATTGCAGAACCCTGAAGAATTTCAAGCAGAAGGATGTGAACAAATAAACTTTAGTGTCTGTTTCTTCTTTTAAATATTCTCTGGGAAGTGGGGAACTAAAACAGATTTTAAGATCCTATGAAGGGGTTTGGGTTATAGCTAAAGAAAAACTTCCAAACTTTGAATGCATGAGACTTTGAAATGGGGATTTTTTAAAATTTATTTATTTATTTTTATTAGTGAAACACCATGAGGTACAGTTATAGACTTATAAATTTTTGTGCTTGGGTTTCAGTTATACAATGATCAAGTACTCATCCCTCCACCAGTGCCCATCCTCCACCACCACGGGTTCCAGCATCCCTCCCACACCCCATCCACCCCGTCCCACCCTGCCTCTGTGGCAGGGCATTCCCCCTTGTTCTTTCTCTCTTGTTTTGGGTACTGTGTTTTGCAAGAGAGGCATTGAGTGGCAATCATGTGTGGTCTATAGACTACTTTCAGCATGCTTCTCCCACCCTGGGAGGATCCTCACAACACCCTTTCTTTGGTGCTCTCTTGTCTATCTGAGCTTCCTTTTCCCCTAGCACGTGTGGCTGGCCTCCAAGTAATGGAGCAAAATTCCTGGTACTAATCTCAGCCATACCTGGGTGTTAGTCTCCCATTTTGTTGCTTTATGTTCCCCAGATGAATGCAATCTTTCTGTGTCTATCTCATTCTTTCTGACTCATTTCGCTTAACATGATACTTTCCATGTAGTACCACTTGTATGTAAATTTCATAACTTCATCTTTTCTAACAGCTACATTGTGTAAATGTACCAAAGTTTCTTTAACCAGTCATCTGTTCTCAGGCACTCAGGTTTTTTCCAGATTCTGGCTATTGTAAAGAGTGCTGCAATGAACAAACAAGTGCAGATGTCACTTCGACTATACTTTTTTGCCTCTCTGGGATATATTCCCAGGAGTGGTATTGCTGGGTCAAATGGGAGATCAGATTCTAATTTTTTGAGAATCGTCCATACTGTTTTCCAAAAGGGCTGAACCAGCCGGCATTCCCACCAGCAGTGAAGGAGGGTCCCTTTCTCGCCACATCTGCGCCAGCACCAGTTGCTTTTGTTCTTGTGGATGTGGGCCAGTCTCTGTGGTGTGAAATGATATCTCATTGTTGTTTTGATCTGCATCTCTCTGATGATTAGTGATGTAGAGCATTTTCTCATGTGCCTTTTTGCCATTCGAATTTCTTCTTTGCGAAAGTTTCTGTTCATTTCCTCGCCCCATTATTTGATGGGGTTGGGTGATTTCTTCTTGTGGAATTCAACCAGTACCTTGTATATCCTTGATATCAACCCCTTGTCGGATGTGTATTTGGTGAATATTCTTTCCCATTCTGTAGGCTGTCTTTGTATTTTGGTCACTGTTTCTTTTGAGGTGCAGAAGCTTCTTAGTTTAAGATAGTCCCATTAGTCTATCTCTGTTTTCACTTGCTCAGCCAGTGGCGTGACATCTTTGAAGATACCATTAACTTCAGTATCATGGAGAGTTTGGCCAACTTTGTCTTCAATAAACATTATGGATTCCGGTCTGATGTTGAGGTCGTAAATCCATTTCGATCTTAATTTTGTGCATGGCCTTAGGCAGAGATCTGAGCCCACCTTTTTGCATGTAGCCGTCCAGTTTTGCCAGCACAATTTATTAAAGAGGCTTTCCCTGCTCCATTTCACTTTTCTTGCCCCCTTATCGAAGATTAGATGATCATATGCTTGGGAGGGGTTGTCAGTATATTCAACTCTGTTCCATTGGTCTGCAGCTCTGCATTTGTTCCAGTACCATGCTGTTTTAATTATTACTGCTTTGTAGTAGAGCTTGAAGTTAGGTAGGTTGATTCCTCCCATTTTCTTTTTCCCAAGAATTGCTTTAGCTATTCGTGGGGGCTTATTGTTCATATAAATTTCAGGAGTGTTTGCTCCATTTCTTTGAAGAACATCATGGGTATCCTTATAGGGATCGCATTGAATTTGTACAGTGTTTTGGGAAGTATTTCCATTTTGACAATGTTGATTCTCCCCATCCATGAACAGGGGATATTTTTCCATTTCCTCGTGTCCTCTTTTATTTCCTGAAGTAGCGTTTTGTAGTTTTCTTTGTACACGTCCTTTAACTTCCTTAGTTAAGCTGATTCCCAGGTACTTGATTTTCTGGGGCACAATTGTGAACGGGATTGTTTTCTTCATGTCACTGTCTTCTCTTTCACTATTTGCATATAGGAAAGCCATGGATTTTTGGGTATTGATTTTATAGCCTGCCACTTTACTATACAAGCCTATTATTTCTAGGAGTTTCTTTGTAGAGGTTTTAGGGTTCTCTAAGTATAGTATCATATCATCTGCGAATAGTGAGAGCTTAATTTCTTCTTTCCCTATCTGGATGCCCTTAATATCTTTTTCTTGCCTAACGGCTATTGCAAGTACTTCCAGTACTATGTTGAACAGTAGTGGAGAGAGTGAGCATCCTTGTCTTATCCCTGACCTTAGGGGGAAGACTCTCAGTTTTTCCCCATTGAGGATAATATTTGCTGTAGGTTTGTGGTAGATGGCTTTAACTATATTGAGGAAAGTTCCCTCTATTCTCATTTTGGCAAGGGTTTTCATCATGAATGGGTGCTGGATCTTGTCAAATGCTTTCTCTGCATCTATTGATATGATCATATGATTTTTATCTTTTCTTTTGTTTATATGATGGATTATGTTGATTGATTTCCGAATGTTGAACCATCCTTGCATCCCTGGGATGAATCCCACTTGGTCATGATGTATAATCATTTCGATGAGTTGTTGATTGGCTAGTATTTTGTTGAGAATCTTCGCATCCGTGTTCATCAGGGATATCGGTTTGTAATTTCTTTTCTTGTGGTGTCTTTGTTTCCTTTTGGTATTAGAGAGATATGGGCGTCATAGAAACTGTTCGGGAGAGTTTCTGTTTTTTCAATTTCCTGGAAAAGCTTGAGAAGAACTGGCAATAGTTTCTCTTTAAATGTTTGGAAAAATTCGCTAGTAAATCCATCTACTGGGCCTGGACCTGGGCTTTTGTTTTTGGAAAGACTTTTGATTACAGTTTCAATTTCCTTGATGTGAATAGGTCTATTCAGGTACTCTATATCTTCTTTATTCAGCTTTGGGAGATGATAGGAATCCAAGAATTTATCCATTTCTTCTAGGTTCTCTTGTTTCCTGGCATACAGACTTTCAAAGTAGTCTCTGATGATCTCTTGAATTTCTTTAGTTTCTGTTGTGATATCCCCATTCTTATT